GGCTAGGAGAGAGTGAAGAAAAGCGAAGCATTTTTGCTTTCCTCCGTTCCTGCATTACAAAATTGGTTGAAAACGTATGGCATAATTTCGCGGCGTTACGATATAAGCAGAAAAAGTTCGTGTATAGCCAGTAGAGCATTAGAAGAACAATGTTAGCTTTATCGTTATATATTTAATGTTATCGTTCGGGACTTAAATGATAAACGAGCAGTGTGCTCAGACATGGTTATCGACGCTATGTAATGGATGTCAATCGTTCTGAGTTAAGGATCTACAATAGATTTTGATGATGTTGAACAGCTTTCTTTTAGTTCTTATCGTCTTCCCATTGCTTATATCTGTTTCTAGCAGTGTTGCTACATTTCTAAGCCTTCTTAAAATTTTAGCTTCTTCTATACACAATTTTTCAAGCATATTTTGATTTCGGAGAATCTTTTTGGAGTAGACTTTTAGCGCCTATCTAATCTATTCAAACAAAGATTTAATAATTCTTTGAAGGCTACAAAAAATATTCCTCTATAATATTTATGTACTTTTTTGGTAGCACATTTCAAGATAGTAGTCTTTTGGTCTGCGAAAGTGATACAATCGGAAGAGGTGCCTTGAAGGCAAAGGTCCTTGCTCTCCCGTATGTGGAAAATCAAGAAAGTTAAAACTGACTTAAAAGGCAGACATATCTTTAACAGCATTGAAAGTAATCCAGTGAGTTTGATATACTTTTGTAAGTAAACTTAAATTTGCAAATTGTCTTAAAGAGTCCTTTGCAAAATTTTTCTCATATAGAGTAAATTCACGTCTTCTTCTTCGAGGAGGTCCACTCTCCTCATGCTTGAGGGAGTTCGAGAAGGAAATGGAGGCCTCTGGATCCGTTTTAATGAATAAGATCGCTCTCCTGCCCTGCGAGGACCATGCATACAGATTCAGGCTATCAGTAAAATATTTTTTAAGACATAAATGGAAGCTGATACGAGCAGTTTGGTTAGGGGGCATTGTTATCGATGCTATATGAACGGTCCTAGATACAACTGAACCCTTCCATCTGCTCCTCAGAGGGAAAGAAATCAACATTTCAATGTATTCAGTCCTTCCTCTTTCCTACCCACTGCCATAATTTAACCTCATCATAGCGGAGAAATTGAATGTAAAAGTTGGAAGCACACAGAATGTGAATGCACTTAAAGCTTACCACAATCTGCGTTTCTTCTGAGAATAAAATAGTAGAGAAAAATGAAATTAAGAAGGAAATCCATAAAAAACATGACTTTTTGATAGAATCTGCAGCTGCAGCTCATTTCAGCGGTTTGGATGGAAAATTGACTTTCGCTGATGGGCATGAGGAACGACAGCCATTTTTCGTAAAGTTTATCTCATGTGTGGACACTGGGAAATGTTGATACGGAAGTGAAGCATATTTGTTTGGACAAAAACGCAGCAGTCATCGATTAACTGCAACAGCATGGTACGGTTGGAGCCTATGCTGTCCTTCTGCTAAACCTTCGGCCTACTCACAGTGATGGTCCATCCTAAATGGAATACACCACATCTGAGACCTCCGCTCAAAGGTCATTATGTTGAAACAGGTTGAGAGAAGATTGATGCTCTAGAGGATTTCGAAAATCGCCTCCAT